CCCTATGAGCTCAGAGTCTTACCGTTGAATCCCCAGGGCCTCGCACAGTGAATGCTGCACAGAGGCACTCAATACATATTTCTTAAATACTGTTGAATATTAGTCAACTTAAAGCTTTCTAATACTTAAGCTATAAAACAAGTAGAAAGAAATTATGAACACATAAATTTCATAATGACAATGTCTAGAATTATAAGTCCTGGATTAAATTTCTGGCTCTACTATTGCCTTATTGAATACTTTTCACAAAACACAAAATTTTCTCCCTATAATGTAATCATACAACACTCATCATTACTGAGCACACAATAAAAATGACAATAACATCTTGAATTTATGCTTTCTAAAGAGTTAGAAGCATTTTTTATGCATTATTTATTTGTTCAGCATCTCTGGAATAGGCTTACCTCTTTCCTTCTAGAAGGTAATTGTTATGGATTGAATTGTTATCCTCCATAAATATATGCTGGAAATCCTAACCCCTATACATGTGGATGTAACCTCATTTGGGAATGAGTTTTCTTTGTTATGTTAATGGGGTTATATCAGTGTAAGGTGTGCTGTAAGCCAATCACTTTTGAGATATGCAAAGAGCAGATTAGGCACAGAAGGAAGGAAACACAATAGGGGAAGTATAGATGCCACTCCACCTGAAGGTGGCCAAGGAACCAAGGATGAGAAGCTGAAAAGAGACAAGGACCTTTCCCTAGAGCTGGCAGAGAGAGAAAGCCTTCCCGTAGAGCTGGTGCCCTGAATTCTGACTTCTAGCCTCCTAAACTGTGAGAAAATAAATTTCTGTTTGTTAAAGCCATCCACTTGTGGTATTTCTTTTTTAGCAGCACTAGGAAACTAACATGGTAATAAAGAGAGATACAGCCCCTGCTGTAATGATGTCAAAGATCAGGTCCTATGATGATTACCCTAAGGAGCCCTGGTGGCACAGTGGTTAAAGTGCTTGGCTACTAACCAAAAGGTCATCTGTTCAAACCTACCAGCTGCTCCATAGGAGAAGGATGTGGCAGTCTCCTTCTGTAAAGATTTACAGCCTTGGAAACCCCATGGGGTCACTGTGAGTCGGAAGCAACTTGACCGCAGTGGGTTTGATTTGGGGGTGATGATTACCCATGTCACAGAATATCATGGAGATTCAGGATGATCTGGGTCTTTATGCTGGTAGGAGGAAAAGGGGTTGTATAAGGTAGTTTTACACTTTGGTACATTCGATTTCTTAAGAATTCAACATATTTCGAGGTAAAAATACGTACAAATTAATTTCAACATTTTAGCTTACTCCTGGACTCTTTCTCCGTGTTTTTCTGGAGACAAATATTTTTTTTCCACACCCACACGAACCATCTGTGTACCAGGCAAGTTTTCCAAGATGTAAAAACTGAGTGAAATATGTCCATTTCATTTATTTAGAAAGAACTATGACTAATGATGCTGTGGAAGAAATGGCATAGTTAATGAAAAAGTGCATTCTTTGTGTGAATAGCTAGGAAGGCCTGGCGGTTCTGGTCACACAGAGCCGTGGCCTAAAGACAGTGGTTCACCACCTGTGCTTTTCAGACTTATCCTTCAAGGAGGTAAGTGGACAGTCTGGATGTGTGGTTTGGAGGTGTCCCCTGAGAGGTGGGGTTTTCTGCCACTATCAAGTGGTAAACTTTTTTTAATTTTATGCAAATTTTGCATTCTGCCACAGCGTGTCCACGTTTGCTTTAAATAAAAATGCTCAAAGTTATTTACTGTTAATTAAAATGGACTTTAAAGGAAGGTGTACCATATTTATTACTGCTTTTAAATACTCCCCTGGACATGAACATGTACCCTGAGTGTTACTTTCACCCAGGTTTGAAAAGCACAAAGTCCTAAGATTTTGCGGCACACGCCATGGGATTTTGTTAGAATTGAAGAGAATTCTTCCACACATAGCCCTTTTTTGTTTGCTACATATAAACTCCTAACATGCTTTTTCCTAGCTCACTAATGAAACCTTTAGCTCTAAGCATTTAATTGGTAGCATTTCCACAGTTAAAATGACTGAAGTGTATAAAATCAGCTTTCACAAATAGAGGTTTTCTGTTTGAGGAAAAATATCTGTCTGAGGTGAGAATTGCCTATTCACTTCCTTCTTTAGATCTCATTAATCTTGGAAACCAAACCAAGACATTATAAAACATAATGGCTTTTTCTTTTTTTTTTTTTTTTTGGTAATCATTTGAAAATATGACCAAACAGCAAGCTGGTCATGCTCAGATATGAGTATGAGGAGTGACTTATTTATACATTCAAATTTCAAAACATTTGTAAGGCCTACCATATGTGCTGTTAAAAGGTTTTTAATTTTAAATTATTTTTGTTAGATAATCCCATTTAAAGTGACATTATGATTTATTGCCGCTAATCAAGATTCTGATCCCTCATAGCCTTCTTGTTTGTATCTGTTTTCGTTCTTTGTTACATAAATATGAGGTTTATATATAAAATTCTGACTGTAATATAGGGCTAATGAGTCACAGATGGGAAAGATGCTGGCACATTACCATCTAATAACATTTTAAACTCATATTCCATAGTAAAACAAAAGCAAATTGTACACATCTGTTTTCCAACTTGTAACATTTCTGAATTTATGTGGAGTCTATGTTTAAAGAACTTTTGCTTAGGAAGAAGAAAAAGAGGATACAGGTCACCTGAAAACTACCCAGGCACATAATAACCTTATCAGAAAGAATTTGGCAAAAAGAATAAGATTTCCTCTGCTTCGTTTCTGGAGAAGGCCTAGCTCGAAAGAATGAGAATCAAAGGCATTGGGACTGAGAAATGTATTCCTACTACAAACGTAATTTTACTGGGTTTCTTCAAAAGAAAATTCTATCCCTAATAGGGGGGATGTCGGGAGACAAATCTCTACAAAAATAATAAAATTAAACACCTAGATTCTCTCTTGCCTTTCTTAGGTGGAAATGATCCTCAGAATAGGTTTGGGTGGGAAGAAGGGAAAGGCAGCGATGAGGAGGGGAAGGTGGGAAGATGCGTACAGAAACCTGAGGCCATGTATTGTGGTGTGGTGATGGTTGTTTACGTTACTTGTATGGTAAACATGTTCTGTGGTAAACAGAAAAAAAATGGGAATAAAAGGCTCCAACTGCACACGCTGTTGGAAAGGAAATAGACCAAAGGCAAAACTTCTCTCTCAGACCTACCCAGTTGATAACGCCAGTGAGGATACATTCGTCCGAGTTATTGAAGTACATGTTTCTAAAACATCTCTCCCCCATTCTCATTGGTTAAGGAACTCAAAATTACTTTCCTCCTTTCAGGGTTGTGTGAACTGTCAAGTTCTTTTGGAAAAGTTACATGACAGAAGTGATTCCTGCAGAGTGTGACCATAAATCCCCCTGACAAGAAATACTCCTGTTATAAGAGACAGATCTCCCTTCACCACCTCTGCAGAAATTCCTGAAAAGGAGAGAACTTAGAGTCATCATATAATTTGAGAGAAAAATTTTGATATGTGGGTGGTAAAACTATTCTTTATGAGGCTTACTGTAATTATTCTAAAGAGTGCTTGTGATCTGACAGCAAAATTTTGTTCACTGTTGTCGTCCAAAAAACAATTAATACATGTATTGTATGTCTGGAGTTGTAGACAGAATATCAAGAGGGGGAAATGACAGAACAGTTTCTGGAGATATCTCCATTTTCACTAACATTTTGTACATAAGATTCCAGAAATGTTGCACAACAGGATTAATGTAACTGATATCACTAAATTATACACCTGAAAAATGTTGAATTGGCAGATTTTATGTTACATATATATATTTACAACAATTAAAACAATCTCTTAGGCATATTAAAGAAGTGGGGAAAAAAACAGGAATGTTAAGAGTTGCAGACTCTTTACGGTAGTGCATACACGGAGCCCGTTGTATCTGCTGCTTGGATGGTTACAATGAGTTCTCAATTCCTCCATTCCCTTTAAGGAATGGTTCCCTTGGGGCCTTATATGTCTGATTCTGTTTGCCATGTTTGTCAAACAAGGCAGGACGTAGAGCAGTGAAGGGGAGATGTAAGGTACATGCTTGTTTTGTTCGTCCACCAGTGAAATGTCTGTGTGACGTTTTGTGTCGTGTTGTTTTGGTGCTGTACTATGTCCATAGGGTCTGCCAGGCTTCCCCACAGTTGCTGCTCTGCACAGTAATCAGATCCTCACCGTCAAGGTTTGTGGCTGGTACCCACACATGCTCAGTCAGAGCCCTCAATCAGCATAAGAATGAGCAAGAACAGTTAAATTGGCTTGCCCAGTCCAGTTGCTTCATCTCGTCATACACTTCAAGTTATTGGGCGGTTGGGACCTCAGCCACATCAATGAGGTCAAATACATAATAGGAAGGTGTATCTTGAGCACACGTGAAAGTAGGGTATTGAGATCAAGGAGGTACAGTGGAGAGAGTCAGGCACAAATATCGAGGACCGTGCCACACCTCGGTGGTTTAATTTGCATGCATTCCAATGCTCTGTGATGTTTTTCAGTCAATTAAAATAACCCTAAATATGCTGGACTTTGGGCGTCATTAAAATGGCAGTTGAGTTCATGCCGTGTTATGCTGGTTGAAAAATCTGACGGAAATTGAACTGGTGCTTTGTCTCTGGACCTTCTGCTCAGAGTGCAAAATGCAGGATGACTCGAGCTTTCCTGTTTCTGCAATTATACTACGTTAAAAAGACCCAACATCCAAGCAAAAACGATGGAGTAAAAACAAAAAAATCAATTCTAATTAAAAATCCGGTCTCTCCCTCCCGTTTCAGGATCATATTCCTTTCGAGAAGCGCTGAAGGGTTTGAAATCAGACACAAGCGCCAGTTCTGTTTTGTTTAATGGTTATTATAAGTCTAATGCTTGTATCTTTATTTCTTCCTTGGGGTCTTCTGATGTCTATTCTTCAACTCTCTCATCTCTGAACTTCCACCTTTGACTTCACCTGACTGATCAGATGGTGTTCCCTAAAATCAATCATGGGTTTCTCTCTGCTGATCAGCAGCTCATTAAACGCCGCTTGATTAAGGTAGTGCTTATTCTTGCTGAAATCTGATTTCCTCTTTGCATTCAGTTATTCCTCTGTATACTGTTACTTTACCATTTATCCCTTACGAGTGGGGGAGGGGGACATTCATTTATTTATTTGGAAATATCTCAGAATACAATTATGCTTAGCGCCCTGCATTTGTATAAAATGTATATAAAAGTACCGAAGTAAAAAGGTGTAGAAAGCTTATCTAATTGTTTCTTAATTCAAAAAAGAAAACAACCTAAATTGGATCCAACAATAGCTCCCATGTCTAAGCTCTACAGCTTTGGTAATTTATAAATCATGACACAGTATGGCAGGAGCGTCATGTGCTTAATTTTATAGGTTGTAAAAAGGTAAACAAATTTGTCCAACTATAAATGCAGCCATTTTATTAAGCGAGACATAACCGATGCAGCATCAGTCCTGGACAAAGTTATGCAGAGGTTTTGTGCCAGTTCTGAACAGTGATAACATAGACACTGTTTCCAAAAGCTGCCAGGGCTTGGATCCTGAGCAGCTTTGATTTTAATGGCATCGAGTCAGCTCACCCAGCATGAATATTTATTGGCTCCCTGCTGGCAGGCAAATTGCCTACAAGCTTCATGTTTCTGGTTGGTCTGGTTCTTTTCACAGTGTAAATGTGGATTAGATAATACACATTTAAAGTGTTAAAATGAAGAGCTGGATCTTTATCTTTTATGGTCATCGTGGGTCTGTTCCCTTCTCCATCATAGGGTGACCAAGGACAGGCGGGGCCTCCAGGACCTCCAGGACCTCCAGGCCCAAGAGGGCCTCCTGGGGACACAGGGAAAGATGGCCCCCGTGGAATGCCAGGAGTACCCGTGAGTTGCTTTTTGGATCTATTTTTGTCACAAGATTGGTTTTGTTTTCAGGGCTGAGAACTGAGATGGAGGTGGATGTGAAGGGCCTTAGGTTCAGTGAATAGGATGGGTAGAGGGAAGTGGAATGATAGGTAAGTCCCTATATGGAGCAGGTCACCCCCAGCAGAATTCTGTTTCGCCACTCAGTGTGTGGGGAAGCCGCACAAACCACAAAGAGAAACCTGGAGACCACACTGGTTTTCAGGTAAGCCTCACAGTGCCTGGTCTCACCTGTGTCGTGCTAGAGGGTAAAGCAATGCCTTTGGTTTAAATGGGAGGTTAGTTTGAAAACCTAGGTGGGAGATTAATAACACTTTCCAAAGGGTCAATAGCAGAGACAATAAAGTTCCATGCTATTTATGGGCAGTAAAGGAAGTAAAACTTTCTAATGTTTAACTCGTTGTAAATAACTTGACAAAAAAAATTGGTACTAAAATTAAAACTAATTGTTAAAACATCATTGGGTATGGTTTGAATATCATTTGTTCTTTGTATGTGAGTCATATTAGTAAAAGTGATTTAAAAGGGATCTCAAGAGATTAAAAACAGCCCAGCCATTAAAAAAAAAAACATATATATATATATATATAGATATAGATATGGAAGAGGCTGAACATTTTTAGATTTATGACTTTAAGAGTTGAGATTGAAGCTTACTGCAGAATTAAAGTACTTAATTATTGCTTTAACTTAAATTACTTTCATTGGTGTTTTCATAGTACAAAAGTAATAATGAGGGTATCCGCAAAGTAGAAAATTTAGAAAATAAAGACAACCAAAAAGAAGAAAATAAGAATCAGTCATAATCATTAACATTTTTGGTATATTTCTTTCCATTTCCATGTAAATGCATAACTTACCTATTTTTTCCCAAGAGAGGCTCTTTGTAAAAGTATGGGGTATTGAAAACATCTCCTGAGATAACCTCCTTATAAGTCTCATTTTCCCTTCTGAAAGCTGTTGTGAATCTGATCATATGAAATGAGGAATTGACTTGTAACATATGATCTGCTGGTTGTTAAGACTGCTTTCACTGAACCAATAGAGAGAGTGGTTTATTTCTAAAATTGTTTAATATCTTTCTTGGGATGATATCCCAGCAGATAGAGAGATCAGTAGTTTAGGAGTATTTACAGCTGCTCCATTGATTGTTGGTTGCCAGCAGAGGTACTGTGACTGTCTCTTCAAATAAGAAAAGTAGTTAAAACCATTTTTGTGGGATAAAATCAATCAGATCATTGGGTATAGTAAAAGTAATAACCGAAATAAAATTTTTGGTAGAAATTGCACAAAGGATAAATTACTTCTTTTTTTTTTGACCCACAAATCTGATTTGAACTAGATTTATGGTTGTTGAGTTAATGCTCCTTAGAGGCAAGAATGGCAAGACTTCATCTCACGTACTTTGGACATGTTAGCAGGAGCAACCAGTCCCTGGAGAATGACATCATGCTTGATAAAGTAGAGGGTTAGCAAAAAAGAGGAAGACCCTCAAGGAGATGGATTGACACAGTGGCTGCAATAATTGGCTCATACGTAGCAACGATTGTGAGGATGGCGCAGGACCAGGCAGTGTTTCCTTCTGTTGTATATAGGGTCGCTGTGAGTCGGAACTGACTTGATGGCACCTAACAACGACAACATCACAACCATTAGAAAAAGATTTCTTAAAAATAAACTGTGAAGTATTTATTTTTAAAGGCCATCAACATCTACATATATTGGCTTTATAAACACAGTACCCCCCAAAAAAAATATCTGTAGCCAGTTACTCTGTCATTATAACAATATGATAAGAAAACATAATAATCAATTCTATATTAATCTGTGTATTAGAAAATGATAATGATATGATATAGAAGAATTTTCTTTATCAGTTTTAATAAAATGCATTACTTCGGCCGTGATTCATCTAGGAGGACCAAAATTCACAAACAATCTCAGACTCATCTTATTTTTTTTAATTTCTACACTGCAGACAACTCTCTCTGGTCTACATATGAGAGCTTTGACATCTCCTAAAGAAGATACCAATCAACATCTTTCTGTCATCACAGAAAGGACATGATGAGATGTTACTGTAGTTATAATTAAATATGTTTCTAAGATCATTATTCACTTACAATATAATCATTCCTACTAGTTTTATTTAGGGAGCCCTGGTAGCACAATGGTTAAGCGCTTGGTTGCTAACCAAAAGGTTGGCGGTTTGAACCCACCTGGCCACTCTGTGGGAGAAAGACCTAAGGATCTGCTTCATAAAGATTATAGCCAAGAAAACCCTATGGGGCAGTTCTTCTCTGTCACATGGGGTCACTGTGAGTCAGAATCGACTCAATGGCACCCAACAACAACAACTAGTTTTACTTAGTATATATTCTAGGCATAAAAAAAATTTCTGCTGAAATCTGGATTTATCCTATTATATCTTAAAGTGTTTATAATATGCATTTGAAAAAAGAATATCAGCTCTCTTTTAATTTCATTATGTTTGCATTCCTCTCTTTAGCCTGAAAAATATATTTGATAGTCACATTCCCCAGTGGGCATTGTGTAAAAAAGAAAATAACCAAAATGATTAAAATTGGTTTTCAGTGTTTATAGCATTAATAAAATTATTCCTATTCTTTTTTTAAGGGTGAACCAGGGAAACCAGGAGAACAAGGCTTAATGGTAAGTATCTAAATGTATCTTTTTCTATACCCAAAATACTGGAAGGTCAGGTTATTAAAAACTATAGTCAAGGCTCACAAGGAGTACAATGTACTCATTGGGGACTAGGTGGAGAAATTCAAATGGAATATCAGTACTTTTAGGAAGAGCCTTAGCTAATTGAAAAACTCTGACTGAGGTTTAATTAATTAGCCAATATTGGATTGATGTTGGATTAATAAGCCAATACTGACCAATAGGGAAGTCTCTGTTCTCTTGTCTCTGCCAATTGACCATAGTCAGGAATGAACTCAAGAACTGGCTTATGGTTTGATGCCTGAAGAGCGTGGTGAAAATGTCAGCGCCTTTGATCTTGCCTCTGTATTTTGCTTGATGGGGTCGGCAAACTACGGTCTGTGTAAATCTGCCTGCTGCCAGTTGTTGTAACTCAAGTTTTATTGGAATGTGTTCATGCTCATTCTTTTACATATTGTCTATGGCTGTTTTCACTCTCTAACACCAGAGTTGAGTAGTTGTGACAGAGACTTTAGGGCCTGCAAAGCACAAAATATTTACTATCAAAATTGCCAACCTTCTAATGTAGCTAAACATGTCAGTCATCTTAGTAACTTTATTACACTGTTGATTAGTATTGGCTTGGTCAATATTGTCAATAAAAGATCCATGTCTATATCATATGAAAAAATATATTGTCAAGATTATGTGTATCAAAGTATCTGTCACAACCTATAACAGAAGAGTGAATATTAGTAAGAGTTGAAATATAATAAGATCTGTCTAGTGCATGCTTTAGGTCAAGAACTGCGCATCTACAGAACTGATGTTCTAGCTGTGGGGAGAGACAGAAGGGACAGACACTGCGGAAGGTCAAAGGAGAGAATTTGATTTAAGCATCTCTGCTATAAGGCATATTAAATTCAGGGATATGCCTATTAGCTTAAGTAGAAATTAGTTTTCAAAGGGGTCAGGTGTGACTGACTGACTGGATTAGCATAGCAAACCTTCCAAAGGAATTCAGAGTTCTTTCTTTTGTTGATGGGCTCCACTCAAGAGAAACAGTTGTGCTTTTCGCTTCCTATCTTTAAAAAAGGTCATGACGTGATTCCATGTGGGCTTGCCCATAGGTATACAGGTCCCAGTTGCTCATGATGTTTTATCCTTTGCCAGTGGAAGAGAAGTTTGGGCATGGTGCTGAGCCCTGAAGAGTAGAATTCCTTCAATCTCCCTCTCCCTCTCTGTCTCTTGAGCTGCCTTTCTAACCTACTTTATAGAACCTACTTTATAGAACTTACTTTATAGAACTTGGAGCCCTGGTGGCGCAGTGGTTAAGAGCTACAGCTGCTAATCCAAAGGTTGGCAGTTTGAATCCACCAGCCGCTCCTTGGAAACCCTCTGGGGCAGCTCTGCTTTGTCCTATAGGGTCTCTAAGAGTCGGAATCGACTCGAGGGCAACAGGTTTATAAAACCTACTGTATGTTAACAATACCGGGGAACAGGGTAATGTTCTAATAACCCACATTTCAGAGGCCAGCTATTTCTTGCACGCGCCCTGGGTGCAGAATGGGCTTGCTCAGGGGCAGTGCAGGGAGCTGGCAGGGAATGACAATAAGCTTAGTAATGTCCATTCTGCAATAACACATGGCCTGCAGCATACAGGTGTTCAGGATATAAAGTTTATTTAAAAAAAAACAAAATTTAGCTAGGTCTTGGTGAAACTAACACACAGGGGCACACAGTTGATGAGGAATTAAAACAAATGTGTGAATGTGTTAGAGGTCAGAGGCTTCTCCCTTTATGGGAAGCCTTCCACAGCCCTCGCAGGGGAAACACTCCTGACCTGTAGGTGTAGCTGCCTCAGCAAGATCAATGGTGGAGTGAACATACCTGGGGCTGAATCTGACCCACCGCCTGGAAATTCCATGTTCCTGACTATAATATCAGGATAGATATTTGATACAGATCTTTTTTTTTTTTTTTTTTTTTTGGCAAGGGGAGGGTACTGTAGTGGATTCTTTTTAAAAAGAAAAAAAGACCATAGGTAAAAATGAAACATTTGTCATCAGTGGTAATTCTACATCTGTGACAATCAGCTCTCAGTGGTGCAGAGTCACAGAGTAAGAAGAATTCTGGAAACACTGCCATGTAAATTTAAGCACTCAAATGCACCTGTACTTTCTATTCTGGATAATGGTCAAACGGCTTACATTGAAGGCTACTCGGAATTGTCCGGAGCCCTTGTTCGCCCTCAGGTATGCACAGCCTAGTCAGATTTTTATCCTTGGCATTGGCGTTCTACCTTCATGCTCAAAGAAGCACCCTAATTTACAGAGTTCGAAAATAAAATGGATGTATTTTTTAAAAAATAATATTCTTACCTTCCTTGAAATGATTTAGATTCATGGCGACCTCATGCTCCATTAGGTTTTCACTGGTTGATTTTTCAGAAGTAGATCAGCAGACCTTTCTTCCAAGGTGCCTGTGGGTGTACTCCAACCTCCAACCTTTTGGTTAGCAGCTGAGTGCATTAACCATTTGCACCACCAAGGGACTCCATATGTACTCTCTAGGATATACTACGTGAACCACAAAATAATCCTATCTTCCTACAATTCGTAGCTTGATATCGTTAAATATGTTTGACCTAATCCTAAAAGAATTATATTATTGTGCTCTCGTAAATAAAGATGATCCTAGATATTTTTTCTATAAACTTTGTCTTCTTGCTTTAAACTCTTAAGATTTAGTTGATATTCTCATTTTAATGATGCAGCTAAGAAACTTAATTGAAATGACAAATGTTTTAAGGATAAGTGTATTATAATGCTCTTCTAAAGTGAATTGAACTATTTTTAAAGATGTACAATCCTTTTTCAAAAGAAAACTTCAATAATATATATTCAAAAAAGTAGACAAACCATAAGCATACAACTCAGTGACTTTTCACAAAGTGAACATAACTGTGTAACCACAAACCGGATCAACTAATAGAATGCTGTCATACCCTGAAGCTCCCCTTAGCCCCCAGTCACCATCTGCCCTTCCCCAATTAACCACCTTTCTATCACCATAGATTAGTTTTACGTTTTTAATTTTATATTAATAGAATTATACTGTATGTACACATTTGTATCTGACTACTTTCATTCTGCATTATATTTGTGAGATCATCTACTGTTTTAGTAGCGTTCACAGCTGGTTTAAAAAAAAAAAGCAGGAGGAAGGACGCTACTTCCTTGACTACCCCGTTAAAACGACATCACTTAGATAGCAATAAGTGAATGAATCGTCTGTCTGACCTCGGACAAGTCACTTAACCTCTTAATGTCTCATCTGTAAAGAAAGGATGATAATACCCTCTCTGCCTGCCTTATAAGGTTGCCAACGACAAATGCAATAAATTAGGAGAAAGCACTTTAAAATACATAATGAAGAACTGTAGGAGTATGTTATTATTATTATCACTCAATTGTTCTCTCTAGAGTAAACTACAGGTGAACATAGATTTACATAACAGATGTATTCCTGTAAAGTTCTGTATGAATCAAATTTTCATAAATCAACGTATTTTAAATGTACTGGGGGATTTTACTCTTTAAAGCAATTCTAGTCAGTCTTTTTGAAAAGCAGTAGAGTCCTCTAATTCCTCTTCCCAGCAAACTGAATTCATATATTTTACATTTGCTTAAGATGAAGTATTTCTATGATATAAAGAAAAAATCATTTTTTAAAAATCACCATTTATGTTTTACTTGAGTAGCACCTGTACATTTTAACCCATCTCAAAGAGAGAAGAGGATACTTGGAACTATAATTTTAAACAATTTTTAAGAGGAGAGAAATTTCTTTAGAATTTTTCTTGCAAATACGAACTCTGTGTGTTTATGTGTGTGTTTTAACTCCAAGTCTGGTAGGGAGAAAGGTACATTGTTCCAGTAGTTCTGGTTTCAGAACTACTTGAGGGTGTATTTCTATAGTCTATGATCCTTTTCACTGATCTGTAAAATGTAGGTAATAATTCCTATTCTATGCACCTCACTGGGTAATGATGAGAAGCATTGAAAGATTAATAATATAAAAATGTTTTATGAACTACAAAGAGTTCCATAAATGAGAAGTATTACTGTTAACAGAAATGTCAGCTGACACGCTTGGCACACGAAGACTATGAGACATAAGGGCTGAGTAAGTCTGATAATAGCTATCAATTAAATTATATTGTGTCAAACACTGTAACTGATAGTGCAGCTGATTTCTTTTGTCTTATTTGGGGCTTTACAGCTTTTTCTTTCCCCTTCTTGTAAATCACACCATATTACACTATCAGTTTTTCATAACACTCTCCTCACCCACCAGTTAAAACAAAGAAATGATAATAAATGCCACGACTTTCATCTTTTCCACAGTATGTAAAATCTACTACATTTGTTTATTTATGTCATGGAGGAATTTTTGCTTACAGGAGAGTTTTCAGAGGCACTAGAGTGGTTTGAAAAATTTAAAATGTCTCTGATAATGAAATGAAGAAGCCAGGAATGATCTAAAATTAGCTCTTACAAAACTGTTCATGAGCGTGTCAGGTGGGGAATTAGTCTCATAATCCAGGATGTATATTTTATATTGCAAAAATAATCATCTGAGGATTAACAGTTATCTATGATAGAATAAAGAAGAGGACCTGCAGCTCAAGCGGCTCCACATTTATTTAATCCTGCTGTGCATCTGTTCTGTAAACTTGACCTTCAGGTTTTCTGAGAAATTCAGGATGGAATTTTAAAAGACAGCTCTGGAGCTTAAATAAATTGGTCTCCATCTTAATAAGGAGAGAACCGCTCTATCTTATAAAACTAGATCAAAGGATTAAGCCAAGGACTGATTACATTTGGAAGCACTAAAATTATGAACCCTAGCATAAGTGAGCTTTATTTTTTAGTTCTTTGGAAGTTTAAGTAGTTGTTAAATAGTATTTTTTGAAAATATCTTTCGTTTTGATATTCTTTACT